ATCAGCTGCAGGTGTGCGAGGCCATTTCTTAGCACGATGTACACAGCACATACCAACCCCCTCAACCAGGTGCGGAGCCCACGGTTGGCCAGTGCATCCCACGGCACCGTCGACCAGTCTGTCTCTGCGCAGTCGACCAGAAGGTTAGAGTGAGGACAAGAAAGCCAGAAGATGCATGCAGGCAGACAGCCACACCTATTCTTTGCCTCCCTCTCATCGTGTATATGCAGGTGGTGTCGTGACCGAGCCATTCCGGCCGCTGTGGCCGAGCAATCAGCTGCATCCCGCCCTCCGGCGGCGTTCTTCTCCATCCTCAACGGCCATCAGAAACCCAGGTGGGAGGGTGGGGACACTGCCCACGTGCCATCTATCACTCGACCATGGCCATGGCCGTGTCCATTCACCCCCGTATCAGATAAGAAGGAGGGGCAGAAGGAGGGGTGATGTGCTTTTGTGCCAGATGCCAAGATGGTGGTGGAGCCTTCGCCTGCAGCAGCTGCAACGGCCGCGCCACCGTCTCTGGTGAGCGACACTCATTGACACCCATCCATTCATCCGTACCCAAATACATGCCCCTGTCTGTGTTTCCTCCAGCTGATCGTGAAGGAGAGTTGGGGCTAGTCGTCAGCGTCTTCATAGCGCTCGACGAGCATACTGCGATCGATCGGTACAACGAGTGGCTGGTCCAGGGAGGGCCTCCGGTCAGCAAGCATGCACCTTGTTGGCCATCAGCATACCAGCTGCTCCCAGTGGGCCTAGCCGCTGCGCGAGCAGAGCCCACGTCGCCGGGAGGAGACCCAGTGGGCTGAAGGAACAGCAGACGGCTTGGTTTCTCTTCAACTCGATGGTGAGTGCGAAAACTTACCGTCTGCTGGCCAGTGTTGTTGGCCGATGGCTGGGGATCTGTCACGGGATTGCCTGAATAAGCAACAGTAAGCAACAGCACATACAGACGCTCTCTTTGTGTCCAGCCCCCCTCTGTGCTGATGCTCACGAAAGGTTATGAAGCCTCTCTTCCTCTGGTTGTACAGGGTCTGCACGTCCTGAGGGGTGAGCACACTGGTGTCCATCATAGTCATGCAGATCTCGAAACGCTCGAAAAAGGCCTCACTGCCAGTGAGCACCCACGGCTCCTCCGGCCACGCCCCCGCCGCCTTCTCGGCCAGCAGATGCTCCATGAAGGGGCATGACGGCAAATACAGGCGCTCACAGATGTAGAATGGACAGCAAAACCAGGGAGCTTTCTGACCCTTCAGCACCTTCAGCTTAAAGTAGACGACTTCTACTTCCTCCTATCTCAGAATTTAGCGATTTCCGCGAAAATGCAGACCTTTTTTGGTCCATTGCTACTAGCTGCTCATCTCAGCAACGTACTCTGGTAAATCCTCGCCCCCCCCCCCCCCCCCCCCCCCCCCCCCCCACCCCCCAGGCCCCCAGTCTCGACCCCCCTCGGGGGGGCTCCCCCATTCCGGGTTCGAGACCCCCTGGTCCCCCATTGGGGGCCGGGGGAGGATACGGCCCCCATGCATGCCTGAGCGGCTCCAAAACGTGAGACGGCCGATTTTCCCCGCCCCCACGACCAGCGCTGGTCAGTGCATGCATGCAAGTGTGTTTTGTCGCCTCAATATTCAGCTCTATTGTCATCTGCTTCCGAGTTTTGCTCTTCGTTAACCTATCAGCACTCGCCTGTCATCCCTCCGCCTTCTTCAGCCACGCCTGACGACACCCGCCGGCCGTCCATACGGCCCTGCGATGGCCCTTAAAGGCCACAACGCCCTTGCATCTGGGCGATTTGACATCGCTGCGAGGCCGCTAGGCGCGGGCGGCCATTCCACTGTGTTCAAGGCCAAGAATAAAGCCTACAGCGCCGACCCGAGCCGTTCCTTCGGACTCAAAGTCTACGACCCTCAGCAGCCGGACGAGGCAGCGGGCAGCACCCCTCCACCCATCCGACATGAACGAGGTGCTGGCCTTTGATGTCTTGCAGTCGGCTGTGGAGACCAAGGCCATCGCCAGCGGCATATCCCTCGAGTTTTACCGCCGCGCCTGGCACCCCAACGTCGTCAGGCGTTATGGCCACCACATGGCCAGCAAGAGCACTCGGCACGGGGACCAGTGGCTGCTGCTCGAACTGCTGGAGGGGGCTCAGTCGCTGGGGCGGTGCTCGAAGGTATCGGCCTTTGAGGCCAAGGCGGTGCTCTACGAGCTGCTCCGCATGCTGGCCTTCCTGCACGAGAATGACATCGCCCATGGCGACATCTCTTCGGAGAACCTGGTGGTCTGCAGAAAGATCGAGGGGCTGCCGCTGCTGAACGCCATTGACTTCGGCCTCAGTGTCCATGCCAAGACGCAGCAGGCGATGGGGGCCGAGAGTGGGCGGGGGTTCCAGGGGGCGAGGGGCACGCCGGGCTACTTCACGCTCGAGATGACCTGGCCGTACGCGGCACACAGCGACCCCAAGGGTATCCACTCAGCCAGCCAGGAC